TCAGTTGAAAAAAGTCCATATCAAATATACAATACCTCAAAATGACTACTGTTCGACAATCAAACCCTTTCCAAATTTTGTAAGGTTTCCTTGTTCTTTTATGGAAACAAAAAACCATTTTACCTTTTATATTCTAAAGTTTAAACTATTTCGCAGTTGTACGAGACTGAAATTTACAATAGACACAAAGTTATGAAACAGTATCAGAAGATCTCCTAGGACATGAAAAAGTATACGTTGACTTTGTCAAAGTTCATAAAATGGTTTTCTCTGTTAAGGCATACAAATAAGTACCTTCAAGTAGGTATTTGAAACATATTTTAACAGGAAACAATTGAACTTAAAATTGAATTTTCCAGACAAAACAGAGGTATCATTTATCGAAGGAAAATTTGCAAAAAAAAATGACACCTAGTGTTTCTCTGTTCATAAAGGAGTAGAACCATACATAAAATGGTGCGAAAATGGAAAAATAACACTTGAGCTTGTTTTGAAAAACTCCATACAATAAAACTAATCGTTCAATAAATGAAAGTTTTATCTATCACAATCTCATGGATCATTTCAACCGTCTCTCTCGATATCTTGTTGCACTTGAAATAGCTTCCTTGAAGAAAAGTCTTGTAAAAAGTGGAAAAAAGAGTGCGACACCAACTTTGACTCGAATGACGTTGTTCATATTTTTTTTTCCTTTTCCATTTTCTCATAAATATATAGTTTTTTGAGTTCTTTTTCACTCGCTTATTTTTGCACAGAGCTTTCTCGTCTTTTAAAACTTAAAACGCTTCATCTCCTTATAAGAGTCAACTCATATTCCCAAGTTTCATTTCTTCCATAGTCTTGAGCCTATAATCCAACACTATCGTTTCTCTATAGCCTTTTTCCTATCCATTTCATATTCGAGCAACAAAATTGAGCTTTGTAAATACAACATACGCTGGAGCAGGCTTGTATATTCTTCTCTGAACGAAGCAAACACAGACGCTCTTTTCTAGTTGCTTTTTTTGAACTTTTCAAAAAGTTTCTTCCTCTGGTGGTGAGATCCCTTCCACGGGTGATGTCTTTCAGCAATCCAACGTCTATTGTTGTGCATATTACGTTAAACCAGATAGTAGTAAACCATAAATAAACCAAGGATATGCAGCATCTTTTTCCATTTATTGTTTGACAGAAACTCTTGGAGATACTTTTCAAGAATTTCAATGTTATTCTCGCTTGTGTTTTCAAGTCTATGATGTCAGTAACTGTAAATCGATTGAAAGAAATGTTGAACAATTCCTTGATATTTTTCTGGGTCTCACATGTGATGTATTTACTTTATCTTCTTCGATTGACTCCAACATACATATTCGTTTAACGTGTATACCTCTTCATAAAACTCAAAAAGCATTGCTACGGCATGAAGAGGATCTTTTTTGTAACCATTCCTTGACTTTTAAAAGGCAAAGTAGTATCTAATAGAACCTACATTCCAAGACTTGTGCTCTCAAACAAGATGCAACAGAGTCGTTCTAAAACTAGTCGATAGGTTCTTGGACAGATTGTTCAAAGCACGTCGAGACGCATTCATAAAAGTGTGAAGACTCATATGGTCGAAATAAATAAATGTGACGATACAGAATAAACAGATGGGCTTGGAGAAAGGGTCGTCGAGGAGGAGTCTTGTCATTTGAAAGAGTCGGTTTCTTGGTGATCCATCAATGTTTCTTGTACAACGTCCAACCTGGTTTGCGTCTCTTCTTGAAAAGCTGGGACAATAGCCAAAACATTAGGTTAGGTATTATACAATGAGTAAGTCTCCTTGATTACTGCTAGACCTTTGAGGACAATCTCTCCATTGTTATCGGTAATAAATGTACAAGTTGTTTTTGGCTTTACGCGGCATCTTTTTGCAACGTCTTGAATGTTGCTCTCTGTGTTTTCAAGAGACTGAGTGAATCACAAAATATTTTTACAAAACAACTTGAGGTGTTTATCCATTTCTGTGGAGTGTTGATATTACCTTCAGAACCAGAAAAGGAAACCAAAAAAGGATTTCATCTATTCACCAAAAATAGGGACAGAAAGATTGATTGGTTTTACAATGAAACAATCAGTTCCCAAAAAAGGATAAAAAAAGCTGCAAGACTATGTTCAACCAGCTGTATTGCTTTCAACAGACTCGACACAACCAATTGGTAACGAGTCTCTGATATGGATGACAACACTCTCTCAAACTATAGGAGAGAATGGGTAAGCAATGTCATCAAGGTTTTGGGTAAACATGGGAAAATACTGTTTCCAACTTGATGATGGGTAAGAATCAACAAGGCAGGGAATTCTACATTAATAGCAATCTAATGAGAAACCAATGCCAAGTTTTGTTGTCTCATCAAAAAAGCGACCAACAAAGATTGACAAATTTGCAGAGAATTTGGTATTTAAAGACGTGATTGAAGCTTCTATTGTATTTGATTGTAAAGAATTTTTCATGACATAGTTGCAAAGGAGAAAAGACTTCATAAAGCGAATTCACTTTTTTCATTACAAGTGATTTCTTTGATCTGGTAATTGAGAATAGTCAACCAACATCATGAATTGATATTTGAGTTTAGAAAAGGAGATATCAAGGAGTTTAGGAATATGTAAAGGTGATTTCGTGGAGACTTGTTCAAAGAAGTGTTAAAAATCTCACAAATGTAGGGGTACAATACGCTTATTGTATGGATAATTTGAGGGAATAGTAGGGGAATAATGTCCCAATGTAGGGGCAGTGTTTGGAGAGTGAAACATACTTTTATAAGTATCACCTTAAGAGAATCTAGTAAAACCAAACCTATCTCCAAGGCTGTAGTTGCTGCACTTTTTCGTACAGACTTTAACAAGCCCTTATCGTTGACTAGAACACAGTTCTTGGCTATGGATAAAACTGTACTCCAATCCTTCAAGTATGGTTATGCTTCAACAGGTAAAGAAAAAGTTTTCAAGGGTTCTTTTCTTGTGTTTCTTGGGTGTCTTTGTCTCAAGGTTTCGTAAAGACTTGATCTTCGAAAAGGACAACTTTTCTTTGACTTTTACTACTTGTAGCTTTGTTCAATGTCTTGGTAAACCAAACGATGATATCATTCAACTGGCTACTCAACTCAATATTACTTGTGTTTTTCCAAACTCGTTACTCTCAAGGGTACTTGTCCATTTTTAAGGAGTCATTTCAAACAATATTGAGGTGGAACCTAAACATGTTACAGACTGTCATTTTGCTGAATTGAAACGTATTTTTTTGTTACGGTTCTTCAAAACAAGTATTTTTGAAGAAAAGGAAAAAAATAACCATTCTTTGACATTCTTCTCTTCTTTTGCATAGAATGTGTCTTTAAAGCATTGGCTCTTAATGTTTCGTTATCAGTGTGGAAATCAAAGTTAACTTTCTTGGAATGATCTTTTACTGTTTCAAATGGCTTTATTGATTTTTACACACACTGTCCTCAATTTCAAATGCCCCATTTCCAATTTACCCATTCTTCCCCGCATCCATATTCATAATGGCAATTTCCAAATCAACACAATCGCCTTTGGGTTGGCCCCTCTTCAATTTCCTCACACCCTTTCCCCACCCATTTTCCCCCATCGCAATTTCCACACTTTCTCCCATTTCCAATTTACCCATTCTTCCCCAGCCCACAATGGCAATTTTCAAATCAAAATTGCGCGGGCCCATTCCAAACCGGCCACTCTTTTCAAATTGCCCACATTTCCCATTAGCAGAAAAAATCTGTAAAAAGTGTGTATATTGATGCTTAACATATTATGCAGAATCAGACCCAATGGAAACAACGAAATCTTCATTTTAGAGTATACCAATATGATTCAACACTAGGTCAATTCTGGAAACAACAGACTCAAACGAGTTTCGGTCAACGATCTGTTTAGTATCAAAAGTTATTTACAACTATGAGGAGAATTTGGGGATTTTCTCTCGTTATGACTCTTGTCAAGCAAACTATCAACTAGATTGTCCTCTGTGTATTTAGATGAAAGAATACTAGTACTCGTTGGTATTTCGTCCGCCAAGTCTACTTGGGTAAATTCTTCCAATAAATCCATGCAATC